GGGGATTTACCCTGCAACGAATAACGATTCGGCTAATTCTGGGGGCAAGCATACCTTTGCTGATAAATTTATTAAATTTTTGAAGCTTTTCATTTTGGGTATGGGGGCCCCTAAATCTTTCTTCATAGTTTAGAAAATCTTCTATAAGGACCAAGTTATTATGCAATTTTTTCCCTCCAAATTGTAAGCACTTTCCACCATTTGAAGTACGCTTTATTGAGCATCTTTTGAATCTTGTACCTACAATATTGTTTAACCTTAATGGATGTAGACAAGAGAATGGAAACAACAAGAATGAGAGAGCTACTGCAATAGGGTTTTTAAAATACATGGAATTATGGAGGCCTTCAACATTGGTTGACCTGCGTTATGAAAGATGTGCTAAAGCCTTTTAAAGATCCACATATGCAATTACAAAGGAATGGTTTAATTCATCCTGATGTGTTCAGTTGTCGACATTTTACATTAAAAATTTTTCATTGATGAAAAACGAGCCCTACCCTGGTGGAGAGGAAGGGAAACTTGAAAAGGTGGAGCACACGACTGAAGAAAGTGTAAAGAACAACATGTACGTAACAACACAGCATAGGTCGTGCTCAGCTATTCGAACTGAAGTTATTAAATCATCAAAAAACCTTTTATCTGAACGTCGGCACATAGCACAAGTGGAGATAATGAAAGAAGTAATAACATTCCTGGATCCAAATAATTGCAAAATTTCGTGCAAGCTGGTAAAAGTATTGTTTCGCGAATATTTCCAGAAAACATTCCACAATTTGTCGTTGATTGTGCAGAGCAGTGATCCCTTATAGAGGAAGTTGGAGACATTCCTTTAGACTCTGATCATGGTTCTCGATGAATTCGACAACTCCGTTAGCTCTTATGTGTCTGCCATGGAGTCCTTTAACAAACTATTACTGCAATCATTACACTCATGCCACACAGTATGCTGCCGGAAAGATTAGTTTCATGTGTTAACTTAAACGTGTCTGTACATCGCACGAACATCCAAAAAGAAACCGCAAATAGCTGTTGCTAAGTTTCTTCTCAGCAAGGATAGAAGATTTCAAGAGCCAGTTGTAAAGATTTATTCTCAGCTTGATTTTGTATCCTCATCATTTTTTAAAAACTAGTGATCCAATTTAAATTAAAAGGCAGTAATTAGTTTGCAAAAGTGTAAGTATATACATGAATATGCATAGTTATTTGATATTTGTTTGAAAATAAAGTGTTATTTGTTTAATGCCTCATGTTGTTGCAAGGAAAAGAATAAGTGCGGACATTTTATGCGATATTGTAAAAAGCGCAAAAATTATCTTAATGAATTATAATTAGTAAGTTATAGTAATTCATATCAGAAATGGATTGCTCCTCCAGTGATTTTTTTCGCTTAAAAAAGTCCCTGATGTAATATACATACCGAGGTTAGATCATTTGATAACGAAAAACTATCAGGTAAAACATGTCTAAATATTTCGTTATGCAAAATACCAAATTCATTAACAATGCTTGCAAATCTCATGTCTCCCGATGAGTCAATGGTATATTTATTGATTTATAACTCTCAGCGATGGACATAACGCAGATACCTCAGTTATGGGTCTGTGCTAAAAGAAATAAAAACAAATCTCTATGTTGCGAAAGAGGTCAGTTTATTTTAGTTTTACCATGTTCATTTTGTGAGTCTAATTCTCAAGGCAAAATTATAAATTCCTTATGTTTGTCTTTCTCAGTAGTATATTTTTTTCTGAAATAATTATAAATATTTCGTATGTCTGTATAACAGTATATATAATTTGCCAGAGTAGCTTTTACATTTTGTACCATACGTTAAAGTTTGAATTAAACAACAATAAGAATATTTATGGTTAGTAGCATCTGATTGAATTCCTAACACAGTTACCACCATAACGAGTATAAGTAGCATCTGATTAAATCCCTAACGCAGTTACTATCTTAATGAGTATAAGTAGCTTCTGAAGGAATCCGTAACGCAGATACCACCCTAACGAGTATAAGTAGCATCTGATTGAATCCCTAACACAGATACCATCCTAACGAGTATAAGAAGCATCTGATTGAATCCCTAACACAGTTATCACCCTAACGAATATAAGTAGCACCTGACTGAATCCCTAACGCAGTTACCATCATAATGAGTATAAGTAGCTTCTGAAGGAATCCGTAACGCAGTTACCACCCTAATGAATATAAATAGCATCTAACTGAATCCCTAACATAGTTAACACCCTAACGAGCATAAGTAGCACTGATTAATTTCCGAACATACTTACCACCCAAAAGAGTATAACTGACATCCGATTGAATCGTTAACACAATTACCACCTTAAAGAGTATAAATGGCACCTGACTGAATCTCTACCACAGGTGCCACGCTAATGACCTTTTCAAATCACTTCCTACTGTAAAAAAGGAAATGTTATGAAAGACGGCCTAAGCAAAAGCAATTATAATAAAAGCAGTAAATCAGCGCGACAGAGTTAATCAGCAGAAAAACAACAACATCATACGAAGAGAAGCGAAAGAACCTGACTAATTTGATATGAGGAGTGATACGCTTAATTTTGGCATAAAGTCACTTCACTTGTAGAGAATCTGAAGTATTTATGTATAATAACATTAGAATTCTTTACCGAGAGCGGGGTAAAAATGCTATAAAAATAGTGACTATGTGTATCTGAAATAAAACGTAGAGCAAAAGAAACGTCACGGGAAGTATGCACATTTCCGTGAAGCCAAATATACTAAGCCATCCACACCACATCGGACTGGGCGTGGCATAGTGGTTAGCGTGCCTGACTGTGAATCCGAGGTAATTATCCTAGTGTTCACATTCTAGAGAGGTACCACATAAACAACTTGAAAGCACATACAAAAATACAATGGAAAGTAGTAATTTTACTTCGTTACTACAATATAAATGCATATTTCGAATAGTAATTTTACTTCGTTACTACAATATAAATGCATATTTCGAATAGTAATTTTACTTCGTTA